CTAAATAAATAAACCCCTTTTGCGTTCCTGACTCCCCAAGCCTAGAGTGTGTGCGTGCACTAAGTAAGTGTTCTAAATTGTATCATAAACATTTTGCATGCTCTCATTTTGCAACAAGGAACTATGTTTCAGATCACTAAGTTTTGAGCATACCACAACATAATGATTGCCCCTGTCTATGCAGGTCCAGAGGCAGCACATTCACCTGAAATTAGTTGATGCACAACCTGCCCATACTGAGCCAGGAGCATGTACGTTCCAAGAAAGCCAGTCATTTATGAGCATGCCCCAGTAGTGGCTTCCCAAACAGATGTCCTATGGAATGGCACGGAGAGGACGGTTGCAAAGCTAATGGAAATGCTGCTTGTTTTAAATCATCAATACAATCTACAGGGTGCTTGACTTGTGAGCAAATGGACCTCTGATGGAAAATGGAACTATCACTAGAACAGAAATACCTAGAAATAGGGAAGCAGAGTTTCTGTTAAGTGTTCTGTAGCCTCTTTATTGACCTCCTCCTTCTATTTCTTAAGTAAATGACAAGAATTGGCTGCTTGTGTCATTGGTTCCATTCGCATCTGGAATTATGGCCAGTTCAATGGAGACAGAAATATACTACCTATTAGTTTTTCATTAGTTATGGTAATGAAGTCCAAAAAGTCCCCGTTTTCTCCTAAAAATAAATGTGCCTCCAGTTGAAATCTGTGGCCATGAAAGAAATCATAGTTCACTTTCTTATTACTTATAAAGTTTATTTGTTTTAAAATTGAAATTAGAGATGATAATCTCAAAACAAATATACTTAGGGAGGAAAGGAAGGTGGGCTTTTTTGTAACCATCCCAAGGAACACAAATAGAAAATGTAGTTTTTGCAAAAACATTCACCTCCCCAGCCCTTTTGGATAGTGTAAGATTCCATGGGTTTTCAAAAAATGTGAGTATTTTTCTTCATTTAATGATGAAATGTATGAATACCATTCCTTGGACATATATGTGCCCTGAAAGAACATTTTAGAAGGTAGTATTTTATCATATATATCCATTCATCACTCCAATTTGTTACATTGTTTCACAAAAAGACTAAAGTGCATATAGTGAATGCACAGGAGTATGGCAGCAAGACCCACCCTTTGACTAAGTGCATTCACTAGATTTTTTTTTTTGCTTTTAAATCTAATAAGGAGAGAAGTCTAAGCTGTTCACATGTATACTGAAAATGCTGTAGCAGGGCCCAGAGTTCTTGTGGAACCATAAAAAACAAACTAACCAAGCACCCATAGCTTTTCTATCACATAGCAGTCATGCTGTACTGGTACCCATTACAGGGCAGGTATTATGACTGCATAGTCCAGGTTTGATACCAGGCAGTTTAAGGACTCTCTGGTAGAAGTGCATGTATACTCTCCTCTGTGTTAGACCACAGTGAAAGTATGGGACTCTGAGAACCAAAGTACATGTTACGGTGGCCATGGGTCCAACCCATGGCTGCTGATGCCATTCTAGATGAAAATTTAGACATTTAAAAATTGCTGCGGGGGCTTGATCAGGTCCTGTGGTGGCAGGAAGAAGGTAAGGCTGCACTGGTAGGTAGGAGAAAAGAGAAGCAAGGTACAAGGTTGAGCAGTTTTATACGTGAGAGTGCAAGTTGTTCAAGGTGGGAGCCAGAGAAGTTTCTATGTAAGATCCCCTGACAAAGCATATAGCGAAATGCATAGGGAAGAAGATCTAATAAAACTACTCAACTTTGTACCTTGTTCCTCTTTTCTTCCACACTGTGGTGGCACCAGGTGATTCTCCTTCCCCCCTGTGTTCTTCCAGCAGCAGCTGTGTCAGCATTTGAAAAGATACAGGTGTGTGGGGGGGACTGGGTGGAAAAGATCACTGGGCGCTGCTGCAGCATGGCCATTTTTAAACAACTTAATTTCCCTCTAAGACAGCATTGGCAGTGGCAGGATGGACCCATGGCTGCCATAATGTGTAGCTTGGCTCTGAGCCTACTACATTGGCAATGCCTATCTAGGTTTAGCACCTTTATATATGAACTTCCATGAAATTTTTCTGTCTTTCTTTTTTGTAGCAGTCAAGCACTGGTCTCTGTGTAGATTTAAAAATAAAATAAAATACAAAAATGGCCTAGCCCTAACTATGAGTTATACATACTTCTGAAAAGACAAGGGAACCCTTGGGTTTGAAGAAAAATCTAATTAGCAAAAAGAGAGAGAGAGAGAGAGGAGGGGAAGAGGGCCATCAGCAAGCAAAATAAAAACCTAACCAAGTTCCTTGCAGTATCAAAACAGCTTAGCAAGAATTTTGTTGCCATTCTGAGAGGACCTCAGAATGTCAAGATGGTGTGCTTCTGGGAATCAGCTATAGTTTTTTGTGCCCCCTCCCAAGCATCAGGTACCAGGTGGGTTGCCCAGTGCTTGGGTGTGGGCAATAGACCCTATAGGCAGAGGTCCTGATGTTGTGCAAGGTTTTCTTGGTGGTCCAGAATGTCATGATGTCAGTGGTGAGGTGGCAGGAAAGTAATTGGTGGGGGAGCAGAGGTGGAGCCAGCAAGGGAGGAAGTGGGACCAGAGGGAGCAGAATGCAATTTTCTTTTATCCCCCAAGTCCTCTGGGGGGGGAGTATTGGTAGAGATGAGAAGTGGTGATGAAGGGAGGAAGCTAGAAAAAGGAGGAGGTGTTAGGAATGGAGTGATAACATTGGGGGATGGTTTACAGTGATGTGAAACAAAGAGTGGGATGTCCGGGGGGGGGGAGTTAAGGAAATGAGATGTGAAGAGTTAACATGAGCCTAGCAGAGAGAGGACGGAAGAGGCAAAATGAGAGCATGCAAGAAAGGGTTGAGGGAATGGCATGAGGCACTTAAAGGGTGCTGTAGAGGCAGCTGAGGGATAACAACAAGAGGGGAGGAGGGTGGAAGTGGGGGGTTAAATGGATAGGGAGGTTTGGAGGGGGGTGATAAAGATGCAAAAGATGGAAATGCTTTGGGTGGAGGGGCAATGTGGGGATGGGAAGGGGAACAAGAAGAAGCTGGAGATGCTCAGGAAAGGTATAGCAGAAGGACTGTCACAGGCAGAGGGAATGATAGGGGGTGATGGGTTAGGGGTGTAGAGCATAGGGTGATGAAGTGACCATTTATAAGGGGCAAGACAGAAGTGGAATTAGTGGGTTAAAATTAAATGTATAAAGATGGGACTAAGGGGAAGCAGAGATCTAAAACAACTGTATTTAACCAGCTCTTCATCAGCTCTGTAATTCATGCCCCTTATTGCTGTTTGGAGCTCATGCTGGGTTGAAGGGGTACGTGAGGAAAAAGCTCAGTACTTTATTGTGGGTTCCTATTTGTTTAATAATAATTTCAAATTATGCCTTCCTTAACTTAGTTGGGAGGGTTAATTATCTGCATGTTCAGCATCCCCACCTTCTCAAAAATTAACAGGATCTCATTCTGCTGGGCTGAAGAATGTTCAAAAATGAAAGGCAATTTTACGAGTCACCATCTGGAGGCCCGGCTTTCCCCCCAAAGCAAAATGGAGCTGTTCTAGTCATTGGATTTCAGAGAAGGGCACCCTTTTCTTGCCTCCTCCACCTGCCACTGCTTACAGAATGAACATGGGGAAGGCCTTATTTTGACTTCCCACAATAGGTGAAAAAATAGCTAAGGCCAGTATTGTAACAATAGTAATAAGAGGAATGCCAGAGATAGTAGAAATCACAAGAGCCAGCAGCATTGTCTACAATACGCAGACTAGCTCAGGGTGCAGTCCTTGCTGCAGAACTAAGGCTAGGGTTGCCAGGTCCCCCAGGGGGGGCGGGGGGTTGCCCGCTCAATGGGCCCCTTACCCGCGGGCCCAGATCGGGCTGCCAAGGGGAACCCCACCCCCAAAGTGCCGGGATCGTGGCAATGTGCCTAGCATGATGACGTCACCTAGAGGTGATCTCATCACGCCGGACACATTGCGGGGGGGATGCTCTATCATTCAAGGGAAAAAACTCTATGGTTTCCCCTCGGATGATAGTGGCCCCGCCCTCAATGTGCCCGATGCGATGAAGTCACTTCCGGACTCCCCCGCCGCAGCTAGAGGCAGGACCTGGCAACCCTACCTAAGGCCCAATCGGCATCTAGCATTTGCTCCGCTGTTTTACCAAACCCACACTGGAACAGAAAAAGATGCAGCTCAAAACCACATTCAAATACCCCGGGGCCAATGCCGTACTGACTGCAGAGTCACCCTGAATGGCCATAAAACAGCCATAAATCTATGCAGACGGCTACCATAAAACTGAGAGATCAAACGAAGTGAAAGCAGCATTCAGTCTGGGCACTGCCATAAAATCGGACAATCAAAGAAAGTGAAAGTGGCATGCAATGTAGAGGGGAATTTCTGTTCCAGTGTGGGTTTGGTAAAGCAGTGGAGCAAATGCTAGATGCAGATTGGGCCTATGTTATGGCTCCAGTGGCCTGGCTGAGGCCTTCAAATGAAGGGCCGGGTTCTGTCGTCAGGACAGCCGCAGTTACCCAGGGCATGTGAAATCTTTAGTCTCCCTTAGGGAGAACATTAGCTAATGGCCACCCTCTGGTGGCTGATTGTGGAATAGCATAACAGTGTTATGGCTGGCTACAGGTCGTCTCTTCTGCAGATGCCTGAATAAATGCTTTGTCAGAGCTGGGATCAAAACTGAATGAAGCTGGAATTCTGAACATGTAAAATGGAAGAAAATTATGTAACATCGAAAATTAAATTCTTTGAATTTGTTCTTAAATGCAAATGGGATAATTTCTACAAAACAAAGCAAAAACCACAAACAAAACACCCTTTCATTTGCTGTTGTGTGGCTGCGGAGAAACAAATCTTCACTTGTGCTAGGTTTGCCTCCCACCTTTGTGTATGATCTGCTACACTTAGTGCTAGGGTAAAAGATGGAAATAAAAGTGATTGGGAAATATTCTATGTGTTGTGTTCACCCACTGTGTATTGTGTATACCCAGAGTGCTCACAGCCGAACACATTCAATGTCAGGATTGTTGGATGATGTATCGAAAGCACCAAAATATGTCTCCCTGTTTACAGGAGGAGGGGTGTTGGAACGACTCCCCACCCCAGAATCAGGACTCAGGGCAGGCTGAACATTTTCCGTGTAATTCTCTTCCATCTGAGAAGGTGACAGCTCCTGTTTCTGCCTGAGATTCTTGAACCGTTTGAGCTTCACAGGATCCTTAATCTCTCTGGCACAGTGAAGCAAAATGAAAATGTCCCGCCGGAATTTGGAACTCATTCCAAAGTAAATGATGGGGTTGTAGAAACTGGCAGACTTTGCAAAAAGACTGGCAAGGATGCTAGTTAGAGGCGGCACTGGATAACCGTAGGCAGACCACATAGAGCTGACCGCGTATGGAGACCATGCGGTGATAAAGGCTGTGCAAATGACTATGGACACCTAGAGGAGAGAAGAAAAGAATGAGAACCTTCATTTCACATTTCCCAGCCTCAGACAGACGGGATTGTAGTAAGGGCAGAATTATATCAGTGGGTTAATTGGAAACCTGGAAATATGATACACGTCTTGACCCATGAACAGTCTCTCTCTCTCTCCTAGCTTGCTTGTCCTTTTTAGATTGATGAAGTTTCACACTGGGGATCAGTAAACCCAATGGCCTCTATCAACGTTTCCTCTAAGCTGTGGAGTCTTGTGAGCAAATATTCTACTTTGTGAGCTACTGGCATTAAAGTTGTGAATGAGCGATTTGGCTACTGCATAGATTAGTCTGCTCTGGAGCCATTCTTCCTGAGCTAAGACAAAAATGTGTGAGCCGGAGGCTAAAAAACTGTGAGCTAGCTCACACTAGCTCAGCTTAGAGGGAACACTGGCCTCTACCCAACTACCCTCTCAGTTGCTAACCCAGAAATAGGCAGGTATGGTAGAGGAAGTAGTAGCTCTGGCAGCAGCTCCTTGGTGAGCCGGGGGAATCCTATCCACCTCCTTCTATATTTACTTCAAAGTAGCTCTCCCGTAGGAGCTGCTAGCTCAAGTGGTTAAGACGCTGAACTGCAGGCTGTGGAAGGTCAGTAGTTCAGCAGTTCGAGACCCGGGTGTCGCATGATGGAGTGAGCTCCCATCTCTAGTTCCAGCTCCTGCCAACCTAGCAGTTCGAAAGCAAAAAATTGCAAGTAGATAAATAGGTACCACTTCGGTGGGAAGGCAACAGCGTTCCGTGCACCTTGGTGTTTCGTCATGCCAGCCACATGACCACGGAAACATCTTCGGACAGCGCCGGCTCTTCAGCTTGGAAACGGAGATGAGCACCGCAACCCTAGAGTCAGACTCGACTGGCTTTCGAGAAAGGGAACCTTTACCTTTACCTTTTTAGCCCACCCGTAATGCTAGTTACTGGGCTTTCCTGCATTCTGATAGATCTAACTGAGAATAAAACAGCCGATATTGCAATGCCCCTGTATAGATCTATGGTGTGGCCTCATTTGGGATACTGTGTACAGTTCTGGTCACTGTATCTCAAAAAGGACATCCCAAAAGGGACATCCTGGGCAACCAAGATGATTTGGGGGTTGCAGCACCTCCCCATGAGGAAAGGCTGAAGAGTATGGGACTTTACAGTTTAGAAAAGAGATGACGGGGAGGGGGGCATGATAGAGGCTTATAACATTATGCATGAGATGAAGAGAGTTGACAAAGAAATTTTTCTCCCTCTCCCAAAATACTAGAACTTGAGGGCATCCGATGAAAGTGGTGGGCAGTAGGTTCAGGATGGACAAAAGGAAATACCACTTTACGCAGAGAGTGATTAAAATGTGCAGTTCACTGCCAGAGGATGTAATGACAGCCACAGGAATAAACAGTTCTGAAAGGGGATTAGATAGATCAACAGAGGATTATCAGTGGCTACTAGCCATGGTGGCTGAGGGGAACCTCCACATTCAGAAGCACTAAGCTTCTGAATCTCAGAGCCAATAGGCAACATCAGGGGAAGGGCTCTGCCTCTATGCCTGGTTGTTGGCCATCCAGAGGAACTGGTTGGCCACTGTGTGAGACAGGTTGCTGGACTAGATGGATTTGATCCAGCAGGGCTTATGTTCTGATGGTATATTTTAGCTTTTCCCACCTATGCATTCCTGAAATTTGGACCGGAAGGGGGATTGTATGTACAGGACTCATTTGATGTCTCATCCAGCTAGCTATAGGCTTGGCTGAAGACTGCATCGAGGCATGCATGACCCCTCTTTGGATTGGAGCATAGGCACTCTGCCACGGTTTATCCATAAAACATTATCTTTTTCTTATCTCTATTTTTCTCTGTTCCCCTCCATGATTCAGTGAGCAATCTTTCATTTTCTTTTTGACCCACTGATATTTATTTTCTACCATTAGATCTAATTTGTAGACAGAAGATAACTGATCTGTTTTGGATATACACTTTTTAAAACTTCCAGACTGACCCTTGTGACGCTTCGTTCCGTGCGCCTCTGCCTATCAGTTGGATCGCCCATCCCACTTAGTGCATGGCTTGACTTGACTGTATTGATGATGGACACATATGAGAAAATCATGATAGTCACAGGTAGAAAGAAACAGCAGATGAAAATGGACACAATGTAGGCCTTGTAGACTGCTGAAAAGTTGGCTTTTGCCCAGTCTATTTCACATGTTCCATACATGCGGTCTAAAAAAATAACATAAAAAATTGGTTAATTGTAAAAAATTGGTTAGTTCAGGTTTCTATCCTTTAAGAAGGGTTTCCATCCTAGAATTATTAAGGGAAAAAATTATCACAGTGACTTACTGAATTGTAATAAATGCAACAATAGGTTTTGCTACAAAATATTTCCCAAGATCCCTGAGCCTATAAATGGCCTAAATTCACAGTAATCCTTAATGACTACTGAGAAGGAATAGACTTGCAAGTCCCGGGGAGGGGGTTGAGTTAGATAATTCTGCAGCTGTCCCAAGTCTTTGCTTGGGTCTTCGTTTCGGCTCCCTGGGGGTGCTAAAAACAAACTGGGTTACACCTGCTTCCATCAACAACCCTATCTCCTGCCAGACTGACTCGTATATCTAGCACTCTGTGCCTATGCTGCTGTTAAGAGGCTCCGCTTATTTGCTGCGCCTCCCACTACACTCTTACCATAAGCTCAGGGGTGATCTATTGCAACTTCACAATTTTGATCTATCGTGTTCCAGGGATGGCAAAATTACCTGCTGCCCCTGCCTGTAACCACAATTCACATAGCAAGCCTGGATAGGCATGGTGTTTTCCAGAGATCAGACTTAGAGCATTCAAAATATAACAATGTTTAATAAATAGATAAAAATAATATACACATCCTGTTCAAGCATTTCAGACTGAGCAAAGAAACAAAGAAAAGGTGAAAACACACTTTCTCTAAACTTTCTATAAACTCGGAACTTATCCTAAATGATGTTTAATGGGGACGGGCTAGCTTTACTTGTAGTTGCAGTTGTTTAAAGTTCAGCATTACCTTAGTTCTCATGGTTGGGACTTCTCTCCATTGTCACTTGCTGCATAGGCAGGATGGAATCCCTAGGTAAAAGCTTAGTCCATCATGGCGTGTGCTCCCAACTTAGCAGCAAGATGCAAGAGAGCTTCTGCCTTCTTTCTGTCCTGAGTTTAAGTAATCTCTGTTTTCTCCATCTCCCTTGGTATGACCTCACTATCCCTTGCTGTCTCACAGGAAGAGTTTTCGTTATTATCACTCTCATCTTCCAAGGTTTGTGGCTATAGGTGTCACTTACTAGCAGGGTGTGGGATGATAAACCATTATCCTGTTTTGTCCCGAGTCAGTAGCATAACCAAGAGCTTGAGTGCTCTATGCTTGGAGCTTGCTGGCTCCTTTCTCCAAAACCCTTGTTTCTGCCAGCTATGAGTTTGCCATTGGGATCCTGAGAACACAGAGTATGGTCCTCATGACTGAAATATTGGGGTGAATTCTTGTGTGGAGAGAATCTTCATACACATGCTTTTCTTGACACCCTTGTGCTATTTGAAACAAGATTTTAGTAGGGTGAAATTCAGCTTCCACTTACTGCTTCTGCTCTTGCTACCAATACATGTTTCTAGATCCTGCCTATTGCCACCACCATAAGGACCTACTGTATCCCATAATTCTCCTCATTTAGTTCAAGTTCCTTGTCATGCAGTAGGCTCTTTTTATCAAAAATATGACAATTTTCTTGGTTGGGCCAACAATAAATAGGCCAATATCCCACTATGAATAATAAACACAAATCTGAGTGTGTATGTGAACAAAATATAAACTCCATAGTATGCTGCAGGTTGTGATGGTTCTTGGTTAAACTAGATAGTAGAATGTGTAGAAATGCTAGAGATAATATTGCACATATTTCAGTACTATGACAAATATTTCTTCCAGGGCTAATTAGAATGGTTCCCATTGAACAGTACAAAATATGAAGTCAAAATTAAAAATTTACATGATTTTCTTAGGAAAATGTGCAATCTTCCAGTAAAAGGTAGGTTTTTATACATTATTAAACCTCAGGCCTCATTTCCTGCCGGAGTGCACAGGAGCGATGCTCCGTCAGTGAGGACCCCAGGGGGCGGGCACATGCATCGCCCTGCCCCCGCCCTTCCCAGCCCCCCCGCACAGTGGACGGACCCGGGGAAGGTCTGAAGGGCCCCCTGCCCCCTTTCCCAGCCTGCCTACAGGGCTCCCGCTCCTCCTCCAGTGGCAGCAGGGAGCCCTGCCCACCCCACCGCCGCTGCCCAAGACCACACCAAGGAGAAGTAAGGCAGCTGAGGGGCCTTTTTGTATGAGCGCCGGCAGCACCACACGTTGAACCTGGCTGTGCCCCTGGAAAGGGTGGTTTCTCATCGCTCCTTCCCACCACCCACCCCACCTCCCCGTCCCAGACTCTCTTGGCAGAATGGCATTAATGAGGCTGTCTGCGCCCACTGGCCTGATCTATGCGGCCCCAAGAGCTGGTGGTGGCATTAAACAGCAGGTAGTAGTAAATCGCGGCCCAATCTAGCCACTGCTTCTCCTCCTCCTCCTCCCTGCCTTACATGTGTGCCTCTTTCTTTCCTTTGCCCTGCTGGTTTCCCAACCAGCGCTCAAGAGTGCTGGTCCATCCTCCCCCGCAGAGAGAGCAGCGCCCCCAGGCTGCAGCATCGCAAGACCTGGGCTTGGAGAAGGGGTCAGGTGGCTGCTCCCTATTGAGGCTAAGCTGGGAAGTTTCCCCTCTGTTTCTGCCTTCTGCGGCTATGGCGGGGGCGGGAAGAGCTGGGACGCTTTTCTCAGCTGTCCCCCTTCTGTAATAGCCTAGGCATCATCCAGTGGGGGTAAAAACCTGGAGAGAGGTGAAATCTGTCATCTCAAAGAACTTTGTAAAATTGGAGTTAATTGCACCCCCCTCCAATCTGCCCCAGCAAGCCCACCGTTATCAATCCATTTCAGCTACTGGGAATCAGTCCCATGCATCTCTTTCTGTCCTCCGCACCAAGTTGGTTGTGACTTGCTGGGGCACAGGAGGATTTAGCAATCCAATGCAAAGTGACTCCAGTTCAAGTCCCATGAATCCCAGGAGCTTCGGCTGGGGACGTGCTAAAACTAAGGACTGCATGGGCAACTTTCTGCTGTACCAGCCATTTGGGTCTCGGTTAGTTAGGGGTTTTTTTTGGGGGGGGTGTTTTGAACTGGCCATACTTTGCAATCGGGATGGAGCGCTGGATGGAAATTGGTATCTCCCCCCCCCGCCGCCAAAACCCAATGACAGCTCTCTGGGCGAGGTTTTTACTTTCGCTCTGCTCCCTTGCATCTGCTGAGAAGTGGTAGCTGAAAGCTACGGGGGTTTGCTTAACGTGGGCCAGGTTGGTGGCTCAGCAGTTCATGAATTACTTTACTTTAAGTGAGATTGGCAGTCTTGAGGCTCTGATAATATCTACTTTTGCTAGAGTAAATTCTTCTTGTAAGGTTCTTCAATAGGGGATGATAAAAGTTTTCTCCTTCCGTACACTTTTTAGTTACTTGCAGTCAGTGTAAAGGTCTGGCTTGCTTCTGGGGCTGCAACCAGATGTTTGGTTAGGTTAACGGAAAGTTTTTAATGAATTTTAAAAGGTTGGTCCTGATTGGGCTATTTTTTTAAAAAATGATCTGTTTAAGGCTGTTATGTATTGAAATCTATGTTATGCTTGAGTTCTAAACAGGATTGTAAATAAACCAATCAGAGCTGCGCAATGTCTGGGAGGGAAGCACTCTGATTGGACCTTATCTGTAAATAGTTATTGGCTGTTAGCTGACATGTGGGCGTGGCCTCCCAAGCCCGGACTGTTTAAAAGAGAGCCTGTTGCTCTATGTTTTTGTCTCGGATTTCTTCTGACTTCCTTAATAAAGTTGATTCACTGTTCACTAGCTATGTTGAGTCTCGTAGGCCCCTGCCACATGGGGGAAAAAAGACACGAGGCGGCGGGATCAGATAGATTCCCTGAGCCGCCACGCAGTTGCTCCCCGGAACGATCAGATGCCAGGGGGAAGCCACTGCAGGGAGAGCGAGGCAGCCAAACTGCGCATGTGTGCGTGTGCGCAGTTCGGCCGGGAGCCTCGATTGCTCCTGCAGACGGGCGCACCGGCGATCTCACGGCCGCACTTGCTGCGCCGTTCCAGGTTGGTGCTACCTTTTACTTGGGGTTTTTGCTTATTGGAAGGGGTCTGTCTAGTGTGACATAAAAATGTGGCTCACTTTATGAATAGTCTTATGCCTATCGGCTGAGTCCTAATACTTTGTTGGATTCTGAGCTCGTGCTTTCTGGAGCTGAGTAGTTCTGACAAAATCTGGGCTCATTTGAAGAGGAGAAGCTGCATATATATCGACTGTTTACAAGGGTGTAGACTTTCCAATTTCCGGGGGGGGGCTGGGGCTGGGCCAGAGGCATTGCTTTGCTAGGAGCAAGGGTGGCTCCCGGGGGAGGCTGAGCACCTTCCTGAAAATTTCAGCGGGGGCTGACGCCCCACCGCCCCCACGAAGATTACGCCTATGACTGTTTAGGTACTCTGCCAATCGGAGGCAAACACTGAAATCCTCAGCAAAGTAATATCCTTCCAATAAGTCCTTTGATGTTTAGGGTTGTACTGAAAGATGTGTTTTTACACCTGCCCTTTTAATTGTGACAAATTACAGTGTTCAAATGACTTTGTTCAAACTTATGCACACTGATTCTCAAAATTGCCCATACTTCAGGAGCTATTATTGTTAGTAACTCAGACTCAAAACACTTACAAAGAGAGCCAGTTTGGTGTAGTGGCTAGGAGCGTGGACTCTAATTGGGGAGAAATGGCGCGGCCACTCGGCTTAGGATCGCGCTGCAAAGCTCAGTGGACCCCAGCTTTTTCTCTAGGTAGGCTCGCCAGCTCTGAGTTAGGAAATACCTGGAGATTTTGGGGGTGGAGCCTGAGCAGTGGGTGTTGCCTTCTGACACACTTTCGGTAATGTCAGGGGGTGTGGCATAAGCAAATAAGTTATGCTAATGAGTTATGCTAATGAGCTCCTGCACCTCTTATTCTATGAAATTACCGCTGTTAAACCTTAAACAGCTGGTTCCTGAAAACAAATCTAGGAAATAGAATTTTACAAGCCTGAAATTCAATTTATCTAACTAAACCATAGAAATGCCACTATTCCCAAATACCAGTATCCATCTAAGAAAATGAATTACTAGATTACTATCAATATCTAATTCAGTTCTAGGGAGAAAACCATTACCTGTATAACTGCCCCATCCCGAAACTGGAGCTACTGACCAGAAGAAAGCTGCTACCCATATAAAGACAAGGATCACAGAGATGCTGCTGTTGCTGATACAGTGCACTGGAACACAAAACAGCAGATGCTGTTGACATGCAACATTTTACAATTAAATAATTAAGACATTCAACTGGAACCAAGAAACTTATATCCATAAATCTGGAAGACCATAAATTCAATTACCTTCATATAATTTCCAAAAAAACCCCAAACCTAGATTTAAGACAATTATATAGATTTTAAAGATGAAATGTCAATGACAAAAATATATCCTATAACTACACCCACAGCCCAGTCTTGTCTCCCAAGTGAACACTAAGCGAAATATCAGAAGAACACTGTACTCTGCTTTTGAACCATATGGTCTCAGGGCTCTGACTGTTAATGGCATAGATAATGGTACAAAGCCAGGCCTGAAAAAAAATCTGCAAACATATATTTGCTCTTCACTGTTACAGCATTTACTGTTTCAGCAATGTTCTCACTGTTAACGTCTTTGAGAAAAATAAGTTATGAATAAATGGCTTCATGCCCAGATTAAATCTAAGGGAGGAACAAACACGGCTTTGAAACAAATATTTCTGGAGAAGATGTCAGTTCCAATGCTTAAGAGGTGTCTACATTATGCCTTCGGAAGAGAAGAATTAGATGGTTTTAATATAGTCATGTAAGAGTCACACAACTGAGCATATAAAACCTCCCAGTTCTCTCACATTTGGATTGTGTGGACTGTCTAATCTTTCTGAAAGCCCATGGTGAGAATTTTATACAATTGTATTTTATCTTTTACATTTCAGGTAAATATTTCATTGACATTTGCCAGTATATTTCATTGACATATGCAAGTATTTTTATATCATTGTGATTCTTTTATATTAAATCATTTATAGAGTGATTAGACTGATTTTAAATAGAAGTTTTAAAAGTTAATATGGGCTGCGGTCACACGTAACAGAAGCCACACAAGTGAGATGGAAAACAGCCGGAGTTTCCGGGCGCGATCTCACCAGCACATCTGGGAAGCGTAGCGCTCCCGTGGCTCAACTGAGGCTTCCAGCCGAAACTGCGTGGCAAAAAACTAGTACCTTGGAGGTACTAGTTTCCGGAAACTGCGGAGCAAGGGCGGGCGTCTGATCGCGTTTCCGGTGGCATCCGGTGCCCGCCCATGTCCCCTTGCAAATAAGGTGTGTTTTTTTGTCCAAGTCTCTGTGGATGCGCATGCGCACCCAACGGAGCATGCGCATTTGTCATGTACACAAAAATAAAAAACAGTTTGCCGCAGCGCGCACTTCTTTGTTGCGCGCCGGCTTGTCCTGTGATCGGCACCTCTCCCTTGCCATGGAACCTCCACGGTACCTCCACAGTACCTCCACGTAACTGATCGCGTAACTGCGCAGTAGTTTGCCCCAGGGCAAACAGCCATGCTTCTCCTCTGCAGTTTCCTGCCCGTGTGACCGGGGCCATGAATGATCTTTGGCTGGGGTACAAGGTTTTCACTTGACACCTGGAATAAATAAACTTTGGATTTCAAAGAGGGCTGACTACTTGGAGAGACTAGTTATAGGAGAGAATAGTCATATCAGTACAGCCCTGTGGTCTAGTGGTTAATATATTGTTTTGAAATAGACAAAGAGACTCTTTGAAAGTAATGCTTCCCCCATGAAAGGTATAAAACTGAGTCAATATGAGGCTTTATTTGGCTTCAGGAGCAGTTTTCTTCTTGTGTTAGAAGGAAGGACTACCATACATCACTTAATCTGTTTGCAAAGTTTAAATGAGGGGGTAGTGGGAGTAAGATAGCACAAAGTTGCAAAATGTTGGACTCCAAAATGGCCTTCACACTTTCCACATGTCCTGACAACTGGCTGAGGATTAGGTATACAGGAATGGACTTTCTATTGACTGGGGCTAAGAACTCGAGGGCGATCTACCCTCCCCCTTCCTTTCAGTCTTGGACCTAAAGGGGACTTCAGTTCAGAGGATAAGTGGTTCTGAACTCTATCTCCAATTATCCTTTTCCAAGATAAACACAAAAGATTCCATAAGAGATGAAGGGATGAAACAGATGAAGTAGACAGTTCCTTCACTGCTGAAAGGATGGGGGAAAATAGCCTCAGAGGATGTGTGACATCCTGTGCTCATTCTTGTTCTATATCCTCCATCCTAGATTCTTTTGGCATTGAAGGTAGACAACCACTGAAACTGGCACAGCAAGAACTGGTCTCTGAGGACGCAAGATCAGTTACCCACCCATCCCTTTGGTGGTGCTGGAGTTCCCCTCCCCCTGAACTGTGGATAATTACTTGTGATATCGTATTGGTAATAACTACAGGTAACAAACTTAACACACTTAACTTGCACTAAAATCAGTAAGGGTTAAACCAGGGGTGTCAAACATATGGCCTGCAGCCAGTGGTGGGCTTGTATCCTGCCTGCGAGCAACTGGCTCTCTCCTGCTTCCTTCCCTGGGGCTGCTGCTGCCACATCGCAGCTCAATTTTGCCAGTCTCCCTCAATCACATGGGGAGAGATACAAAGTCAAACCTTTTCCCCTCCATTGGCTGAGGTCTCCTCCTCCTTCCTCCTGACTGAGATGGGAAGGAAGGAGAGAGGAGGAAGGGAGGGGGAAGGAAAGAGCCAGCATGAGAGAACAAAGTTCATGTCCATTGGCACCTTTAAGACCAACAAAGTTTTGTTCAAAGTATAAGCTTTTATGTGCATGCACACTTCTTTGCAGAGAGAGAAAGAGAGAGGGAGGGAGAGGGAGAGGGAGGGAGGGAGGGAGGGAGGGAGAGGGGGAAAAAGAGGGAGGGGGGGAGGGAGGGAGAGGGGGGATTTACATTGAGATTGCCCTGCTCTGCTGTTTACTTTGAGACCTGATCACACACATGTTAAAAGAAAGGAAGGGGGCGTGGGAAAGAGAGGCCTGGATAAGGGGAAAGGGGAATTTAAAGGAAATCATTTTGGCTTATTCTGATTTTTTTTTAAAGATTAGATTTCTTTGTGCCTATCTGGGATTTTATTTTATTTTTTTAAAAGACCCTGATTAGGAATTATGACATTTGGATTGGATTCCATTGTTTAATTACTGGAAGTAGATAGCTAAGTATTTAAAAGTAAGTTTATGGTTCCATATGTTCCAGTTCAACATGTCTCCCCTTTCCCCCTTCCACCTTACTGTCTGCCTTTGCTTTTTTAACTGTTTCATTATCATCACTAGTACAGAGTGGATTCTGTCCAGTCTAAAATCAACACATTATTTCCCTTGGAGAGATCCCCCCCTCTCCAGTTCAAACAGATGAAGGGGGGGGGGAGAAACCTAACAGCACAGCTTTCAGTCTTTATCAATGGAAAGGAGCAAGAGTCCAGTAGCACCTTAACAACTAACAAAATTTGTGGCATGGCATGAGCTTTCATGACTCATTGCTCACTTCTTCAGATACAGCTAGAATATGAGTCCATCTGTCCTTATATCTTGGTGAGTGGAGTGATTTCAGATGCCAAATGATAATAGCAGGCGTTGGTAATGGGACAGGAAACCTAGGTCTCAATTCAGTCCAGGAGGATACATTGTCTTGAGCTTCATTTCAGTTGCAATTCAGCAGTCTCTCTTTCTAATCTCCATTTAAAATTCCTTTGTAAGAGAACTGCTACTCTTAGGTCAGCAACTTAATGTTCTGGAAGGTTAAAGTGTTTTGAATGTTGTGGTTCCTAATGTCAGATTTATGTCTATTTATTCTTTGCATGATCCTGGACTGAATCCTCCTGGACCAAATCAAAAGCTAGGTTTCCTGTCTCATTACTAATGCTGATATCACCACACTTACTATCCCTCTGCATATCGCACCTACTCCAATGAAGCCTGCTATTGTTATTTGCCATTGCCATTCAGCATCTGAAATACCTTTATAAAGTTTATATCTCTAGTACCTGGTGTTACATTTTATGCCACTCATTGCCCAGCCCTACAAAGTGACATTTATGTCAATCCAGCCCTCATAACAAATGAGTTCGAAACCTCTGGGTTAAACAATCAACTATGTGTATAAATCCCCCTAATTACAAAATAGGCATTTCTAGCTTTCTCTGGATTATTTCCATGGCCAGCAAAATATGAGCTAAATTCTAGTTAACAAAAATGTGTTGCTCCATTTATTTATAATTGTTTTGTATTTGTGTAAATAACACATTACTGGAGCGACTTAAAATTACCCTATAGCTTTTTTTAAGGCTTCAAATTCTGTTTTTAGATCTTGGTATGCAACAAATAATATAAGAAGGGAAGCATCCCTGCTGATTTGCTTGAAGCCTTTCTTTGATATAATATGTCTGTCAGGGCTAAGTTTATTCACCACTGTGTCCTTGAGCCTTTCTTGTTACTGAGAAGGTTGTAACAGAGTCTTGCAGACCCTTTTTGTTTAATTTTAAATGAATACTTTCTACTTCTTCATATTGGCACTTCTATTTCCCTTGTGAGGGGCTGGGCCTTCACTTCTTGGCTTTGGAACAAGTCTGGGCTTGTAATCTCCACCCGACTCAGCGTTTGAAGGCCAGAGAAACATTTTGGATCCATGCCCTCAAGTCTATAACTCTGTATGGTTTAATTAAACAAACAGGTTGATTGGCTTACTGTATAAATTTTTGATAGTTTTTCATTTATTTGGTTGGTCCTTTGTTATATTGTTCTAATATTTGAATATTGATGCATTGTCACACTGTGGGATCATGTAACCATTATCATGCACTGCATTAGGATTACATCATTCAGTACCAGACTATATAAGCTAACTACACGTTTAATAGCACTGCTTTCTATTGAGGACGTTTTGGTTTTTACTAATTGGTTACATCGTTACTTTCTGAACCACAGTTGATGTTTTATACACAATTGATGTTTTAGTTTTTGCATTTACATTTTACCTATATTATTTTACTAGATATTTTTCTTATATTTTTAGATACACAAAAGTAATAGCATATACCACCTGTGCATATGCACTGGACAGAGGATTTAATCTTAAAAGGCCTCATAAACATTCCTGTCCTGTGTCTATTAATTTCAGTTTTGAAATAAGTAATGTAGGGGGTTTGCAACCATATTATAAGTAAAATTCATCACATTATATATTTTAGAACAACTAATACCCATTTTTCTCTTTTTTCGACAGCATTCCTTTTTTGGCTATTTTTTTGTAACATGTGCCTATATGTACATCATATTGTTTGACCTCTGAAGAAATCTTAAAAGGCCTCATAAACATTCCTGTCCTGTGTCTATTAATTTCAGTTTTGAAATAAGTAATGTAGGGGGTTTGCAACCATATTATAAGTAAAATTCATCACATTATATATTTTAGAACAATTAATACCCATTTTTCTCTTTTTTCGACAGCATTCCTTTTTTGGCTATTTTTTTGTAACATGTGCCTATATGTACATCATGAAGGCCTGATTGGGCCGAATGTGTTAGATCACAATAATTGTTCCTTGTGTGCATGTCATTTGTATTTGTAAATGAGGCTTTCATTGGGCCCTTATATATTTTTTAAACTTTTCTCAAAATAAATACATGTATTTTAACTTATAATAAGTCTATATGAGGTTTTCACTATTGGTCCTCCACGAGTTTTTCCTCCACCTTACCTTTTGGTTCTTGATTCAGTTTTATTGGGTTAAGTTTCTTTTTCCTCCTTGGTTCTGTTGGATCTTATAGAACCATGAATGGAATGCGGGACAAGGGATTTTTGCCTCTTGACCCTTCCAAGTACAGGCCCCCACCCCCAGTCTATCAAAAGCTGCTCCTGTGGATCTGGTGACCATAAGGAATGGTGTGAGATGTGGCCTGGGGAACTGCAGCCAAAAGGGGGGATTAAGCAGAACTGTTCTGTCTTGCAGGAGTTCTCTAGGGTCCAAACCAATATATATCACATATATTGTGATATGTTAATGATAGCAGGGCTGCTATATTAAAAGCTCCTAGGATTATTTATAAATAAAATTCCCTTCTCATTATTTCTTGGCAGTTGAAGTTCTTACTTAGGACTTGACTTTTATAGTAGACTTGTGAGTCATGCAGAGTATAAAGTTCCTGAACATTTTTCTGTATTCTATAGTAGCCATTCCGGCTCTAGACAATCAAGAGTTTTGGATGGTGGAGTGAAAGTGTGAAGGATGATAAAAAGCAATGCTTGGATGGTGGAGTGAAAGTGTGAAGGATGATAAAAAGCAGTATAATGGCACATATTAGGTAGAGTACTATTAATTGTGACAAAGATCTGTGGCTGTTTTTCTGCTGTGTACAAGGATCAAATAAAGGACTATTGTAATATGAGGACCGAAAACATTTTGTGATCAGAGGGTTACATAGTCATAATGTGTCCAAACAGTGAACAATGAACCTGATTCCCTATGGCAGTATATTGCTACATTATTTTGTTTTTCTAAACCTATAAGTAAATCAGGCTTTAATAGAGCAAATCACAAAATTTGTGTTTAAAATGACTTACCTTTATTTGGATGACAGCCTTTTATGTAGCGGGTCACACTTATCACTGTGAGTGTATTAATGCTAGCAAGACCAAACAAAAATGTCAGAAATCCATCAATCTGGTAAAAACAAAGAGCAAAGGAGACTGTCACTTTGAATCAGCTTTAGAATACCAGCAGCAATTAAAAACTATTGGGGTTGTTTTAGTGACCTTGTACTATTATGTTTTGGAGTGTACAAGCATCCTAAATGTCCATGAGATATCAAATGTCAAGGAAAGTTATTATCCATATGATCAGTGAACATCTCAAAACCAGGGACGCATAGTGTCATGTGGATCAGATATATTTTAAATAAGTGGACGCAGGCCTAGTCACCTACTCCTGAGCTGTTGAAATGAAAAAGATATAAAGAAAAAATTGGTTAAATACTTTGTAAGACAGAACATTGTGCAGTATAGCTAGTAACTTTTAATTACTACTGATTTCAATGGGAGAGAAATAGTTAAATCAACAGGACTGAAAAGCTTTTCATTTTCATTGGAACAGGGCCAAAACAAAATGTAAGACCATTTTAGTGGCCTTGCTGCCACACTAGGGTCAATGCTGGTCTGACCACTAGGCAAACCCTGGTGATCGATTGCCTAGGGTACCAGATTTTCAGGGTCATCAAAAAAGTGAGAGGAGTCTCCTCTTTATGCCTTTCTCCTAAAGGCCACTGGGAAGCCATCATTTACTCCCCACCCTACCCTACCCAAGCACCTGTAACGATATGAGCTTATGTTTGCCACCACCATCCTGTAGGGGGACTCTGGAAGCAAAAAGCAGCACCAGTTCTGCTCTCACCTCACCTCAGGCCCCACAAGAGAATGAGGAGGAGAAACCACAACATGTCTTCCGGGACTGTGTAGCTGCAGCCCGTGCCTTCTCCTACCACTCCCAGCCCTCATCACCCCCTTTGCTAGCCACACTGAGCAGCAGCACCTCACCATGACCTTAGGGGGACTTGCCTCCTGATAGAGCTCCCAACTGCCCGCCAGGGTGAGAGTTCCCCTGACGATGGGACTGCCTTCCCATGGAGAAATCACCCCCCAGGAGGAAAATGACAGCTGCATCAGGAGCTGCACCGGCTGCAAGGTAGATGCTCTAGCTCTTATTTTGATGGTGAAATCAAGAGGAGGGATGGCAAGCGACATTGTTCCTGTACGATCATTCTCAATGACTGGCTGTGCATGGCTGCCCTATACACCCTAGGTAGCAAGTAGCAGCAAGAGCAACCACTGCCTCATTTCAGTCCACCTGCTGAGTACGGATGCCTCTTTCTGCATTGGTCATATGTGGCTCCCACTTATGTGTCTCCCACCCTTCATAGTGACGTACCGGCCTGTGTGGCAGTAGAGCAAGGCAATGCGTTTTGGGTCCATGCACCACCACCACTTCTAGGAGTGCTGAACAGGTCTGAGGAGGAGGTCCCCCCCCATTCCCTCTATGCTACTTGGAATACAATGATGGAAAAAAGTCAGAATATAAAAATGAGTAATAAATAAATAAATGCCACGCATCACCATCCCTCTCTCAAAGAAGCACCAGACCAATCACCCTTATCTGCGCTGTTGCTGGTATGCTGACTAGAACTGCACAAGTCCCATCACCCCAATAGACAGATAGCCATACTGCACTGGTAGCTGGAAGGGAAGCTTGGCATTAACTGGCTTCTAGAATCTCTATCTGTTGACTCTGGTCTTCTGCAGCTGCCATGATGGAACATGGAGGGCTTTTGCTAAGTGTATCTATTTTCATCTTCCCATTTTTGAATGCTCAGTAAGTAAAACATTCATCTTCTCATTTTTATTTCTATTGGAGGGCACCAAAGTCATAGTTTGTCTAAGGCACCAGAAAACCTTGGACCAGCCCTAGCTAGAATAGCTAACCACAAAGTGAGGCTTGAAATTCTCTTGAAATTACAACTCCTCTCCAGACTACAGAGCCCATTTCCCTTGGAAGAGCCACCCAGTCCTTTTTAAAATTGCCATTAAGTTGCAACCAACTTATGATGGCCCCATAGGGATTTCAAGGCAAGAGACATTCAGAGGTGGTGTGCCGTTGTCTGCCTCTGTTTAGTGATTCCTTGGTGGTCTCCCATCCAATTACTAACCAGGGCATCTGACACAGCTTAGCTTCTGAGATCTGACAAGTTTGGGCCACTCTTGGTTATTCAATATGGGCACCATACAGTCTTGGAGAAATGAAAGTCCAGGAGTGGCTATGAACAGTAGTAGGATTTCTGTTTCTTCTATGGTATACCACAGGACTAAAAGAAACTGACAGTTGGTGGCAGGGGCCATTTCCTGCAGGAGTGCACAGGAGCGGAGCTCCAGCAGTAAGGAGCCCAGGGGGCGGGAATATGCAACAAGCCCCGCTCCCTGCTCCCAGCAGCCCTCAGTCGGGCCAGGATGAGCAAGAAGCAACCAGGTAAGTTGCAGAGTGCCCCCCCAGCCCGCCTTCAGGTACAAGCTCTCCCTCCTCTGTGAGGGCAGATCTGCACATTTCCCCCCCCCCAATAGCTAGCAATCCAGAACAGTCCAGTGGAGCCTGAGCGGTGGGTGTTGCCTTCTGACACACTTCTGGTGATGTCAGAGGTGTGTGGCATATGCAAATAAGTTATGCTAATAAGCTCCTGCACCTCTTTTTCTACGAAATGACCCCTGGTTGGTGGTAAAGACAGTACTAAAAGATGAATTAAATTGCTGTTTGCTGGTATCCTTTCTCCTTAACACAGAGAAAAATCTGAAGACAATTTTGAGAGGGTTTTTTTTTTAGGTTGAGTGATATGAGGCAGGAAATTTAAATTTAAAATTTGATTATTGTTGGAAGGGAGTAATTCACAGGAAAGGAAGAAATTAGAAGAGCTGACCTTTGACCCTGATGGGCCATTTCTGGATATGAGTTCTCTTCCTCACCAGATTCTGTCCTCCCGAGGTACTACTCCCTAATCTCCACAAATTTCACAAGCCACAGTTGACAATCCTGTTCTATACTTTTAGCAGCAGCCTGACACACACAACATCAAGATGGTGAAACTTTCCCCATCCTTTTATCATGTCAGGAAAAGAGATACCTGCTGAAACACTGCATGGCAGGATGAAAAGAAGAAGAGAAGGTTTTTATATTTGGCTTTTTTCTACCTTAAGAAGACTCAAAGGAGCTTACAATCACTTCCTCTTCCTCTCCCCATAACAGGCACCTTGAGAGGTAGGTGGGCTGAGAGAGTTCTGAGAGAATTGTGACTGGGCCCAGGGTCACCCAACAGGCTACAAACCCGGTTCCCCAAATTCCCACTCTTAACCACTACACCACACTGGCTCTGTTAGCGTCAGCCAGAGCAGCAGAGCAGCAAATCATAAGCAACACTTAGCTTAAGTACAAAGTCAGCTAGAAAGATGATGAATGAAAGAACTACCACAACACATTCTCTGGGTGGACAATTGGTATCCTCATAATGGAGGTGAAACTTGACCATCAGAGTTTACTTGGTGCATTTGCAAAAGTAAGGTATGAGTACGGATGGGCATGGACTGGCTCACAAAGTACAGTTCATCATGAATTTTGGCTGATCTGTGGTTCACGAAGCAACGTTCATGGCAGAGTGACTAGCACAAACATTCCATGGACTTTCATGTTGTTCATGGTGGTTTATGAATGGATACTTTTCCAGACAGACTGTCTCTGCTCAGTTAAACTGCTTACAAAACTTCAAAGCAACAGAGGGGGCAGAATTCTCCAGCCTAGGAAACACCAATAGGAGCCCTCCAAAGCTGAACAGGCAGTTCTGGCTGTTAATTACAGAGTTCCCATTCTGCCCTATGGGATCAGAATGCAATATATCAGCTCAGCTCTGCAGCCTATCTGTTGGCAGTTAGATAGAGAGACAGGGAACCTGTTAAAAGATGAGCACAGTCATTTATTCCTGATTGTGAACTCCTCTCCCCTGCTGGGATTTGGGTGTTAGGTGGACTCAGGGCCACATCCCCCATGAGAGAGAACGGTTGGTCATCCACAGTAATCATCTTGCAGATGAGGTGACTGACTACTTCCTGGGCACTCCACATAGACCTTTTGACCTCTTGAAGGGTGGGCCACCTTGATGTCTCACCTATGGAACCCTAAGTGTGGGAGTCTTTTTTGGAGGGTCCTCCTGCTTTCCCTCCACTTCTCTCTGCTGAGAGGGAGTGGGCCTCTTCTTTCTCCCACTGGCTACCACTCTTAGCGCCTGCAGAGGACAGAAGAGGACACGTGTCGGGGTTCTGTGCTCCTCCAAACATGGGTGTGGCACACAGGAGTCACTGGGGAGGGTGCAGAAATAATTCCAAACTTTTGGCTCCCCCCCCCCAATCACTGCTGTCAGAGTACTTCTCTCTAAAGAGTATTAGCAACTGCTTTTGTCTCTGGGCAGTGCTAACTACTCTTTTGCCCCAGGAACAGATCAGGGGAAGGAGGCTCTAAGACTCCTGGTGATGCCCTGCTAGGGCCAGGCTCCAGTGGGCTGGCAAGATGGGTTTGGTGCCCAGGGACAGGGGCCTGCAGTACACAGGAGGTGGAGGATTTCTTCGCCCAGGGCCTACTGCTGTCACCCCCACTGTCACTTGCTGCCACTCTACCATCTGTGTTCTCAGTGCTCACATTGCTGGTGCCACTGGGGAAGGGGCTGCAGGCAGGGCAGGTGGCTGAGAGCCTTGGCAGTGGAAAGGTTCACAAGTGGGCAGGGGAAGGACACACAAGCGAGCGGGAGACATGAGGGTGGATAGGAAAGGAAGGTGGCAGAGGAGGGCCTGGAGTGAGCAAAGGAGGGGGAGGGGGCCATGAAAACTTGCTGCCTGCCCCCCCCATCCTAGAACTGTCCCTGCCCATGTGGTCAAAAAGCCACAAGAACTGGGAGACTGTGATGAAAAAGGAAAGTCCTGTGAGATTCCTTTCCTCCTCCTTCCACCAGCAGAGCTTTGGAAGTTCCATGAGCAGAATATGGAGGATGGATCGCTTTCCTTTCATTCCTTGCCCTCCTCACTGCGGCCCCCTGCCAACCCTGCATGATTCTTGTTTATGTGTGTCCCCCAACCTCCAGT